CTCCGGTAGGCCACGTGCATGGCCACCAGGAGCGCCGGCGTGGACACAAAGATCAGCTGCAGGGCCCACAGCCGGATGTGGGAGATGGGGAAGTAGTGATCGTAGCACACATTCTTGCAGCCGGGCTGCAGGGTGTTGCAGACAAAGTCGGCCTGCTCATCTCCCCACACCTCCTTTGCAGCCACAACGAGGATCATAATGCGAAAAATGAAGAGGACGGTGAGCCATATCTTTCCAATGCTGGTGGAGTATTTGTTCACACCCCCCAGGATCGTCTGCAGCGCGCCCCAATCCATCTTCTGCTCTGGGCGGTTTGCTCTGGAAAAGATGAATGCACACAACACAGGAATCACTAGTTAGGATGGAACAGGGAGACTTCTCTGGGTCTGGATAAGCAAGCAAGCTTAAATCACTTCCTGAGCAAACACCAACTCTTATGCAACCTCAGCAAAACAGGTGAAGACCGAACCAACTTAGTTTGTCACAGGGTTAAATGGATAGTTCCCAAACCCTCTCGAACATGTTTTTAGGCGTTCTCTGATACACGGTAGCTTGTTCACCTGAGTAATTCACCCAGTCTTTAAACACATCATAAAAATTTGCTGTGTCAGGGAGTGTCACAAAGTACTCGTTAGCTGAAAGGCACTCTTGGGTTCTGACCGGACCCCTGCATCCTCTGCAGAGCTTCCTCGGGTCCTCTTGACTCCGCACAAGTTACTCAGCATTCAGCAGCTGCACAGATTTGCAGTCTCAAGTTTTGGCTGCACCACTGGGGCTGATACTAGCTTGGGCCAACCTTGCTCAAAGGCTGAGAGGCCAAGTACAGGAGAACCGTGAGGATAAGATGTAACTTACAGCTCCCCCATCTAGTCTCTCTGCTGAGCCACTTTCCTTAACGTCTTGAATTAATTTTCACAGACTTGGCATGTAGCAGTGAAACTGTTGTTACCAGTGGTTAAGTTTACATTTGAGGCACCCCGAGTTAAAATTTTACAAAGCACCTTGCTTCCTTCTACATGAAAGGAAGAAGTTATGGATGCCCTCTTCATGGAGGAAAGCCACTGTGAGAGTAGACTTTCGTGTAGGTTTTGTGGATGGCTTGGTGGCCTCACTGTCAGGCTGGCACTGACCGCTCAGTTAGCGTATCTGTTTTGACAAGTGCTGCAACAGTGCATTATAATTGTGGGCTGTGGTTTTAATTTCAAAGTGTTTCTTAAAAGACACATTATTTAAAAAGGACAGAAAATTCAACTCCCCCGGTTACTGGCCGACTAAGCGACATCACTGCACTGCAGTTCAGCACTGAAGCTTGGGGGAGTCCCACACTCCTTACTGCAAGTGGATGTGGAGAGGCCCGTGGATAACCTGCCGTGAGCCCGTGGCCTTCTTTTCATCCCAAGATGTGAACTATCTTCACTGATTCATAGTTACACCCTCCCTGCCACAACTAACCCTCTCCTAAACAAGATTCCACCCTCTCCACAGTCCAGATGAATCATCTCTTTTCCACCCTTCAGAGCTGGTAGTGAACCCTCCTCCTCCTTTTACTTAAAAGCATCCTCCTCTCCTCATTTTAGGCAAGTTGCGTCCTATTTTCTGATGGACTCCGGAAGCAGGGTCATAGTGAATGTCTTTCATGACCCAGAGTCACTGCCAAGGTCAGGCCGAAACCACGTAGCGTCACCTTGGTCAGAGGCGACAGGAGAGAGGTGGCCAAGAAAGTTACATCAGGTTGACACAGGCCGGTGAAACACAGCCCCACTAAGCTTGGGAAAGACAAACATCATTGGAAAAAACAATATTTTAGCCCAGACTCAGCACTGACCCATTGAAATCCAGACTGGGAAGCCCTTAGGTGAGCTGGTTGTCCTGCTAAAGCACCTGTGGCTCAGGCCAGTACCGTCCCGACAGCAGAACCACTGAGGGCAGCAACATTCCGATTTTAACAAAAGCATCTTACAGAATTAGACATTCTTCATTGGCCCTCACTGAGTGGAAAACAGGATACTCCCCGAAGTAAACTGTCGCCTGGTTTACACCTGGCCAAGAATATGAGGCTGCAGGAGGAGGGGTTCATCCTTTGCCCTCTTCTACCTGCCAAACCCAGGTCATATACCCTTCGACAGACCTGTCCAGTTATCATCGGCTGAGAAAAATACAGTTCCAAGAAACCCTATATTGTTCTTTTATAAAGCTTGAGCTGAAGCTACCTCTTTTAAAGATCCTTTTTCAGGAAGGGGAGTAAATTTTAATTTACTAATTAATTTACTAATGGGCTAGGGGGTCATGGGTTAAAAGGGCTCAGAAGCAGGACGAAGTTGTTTTCAATATTCAAGTCAGAGGAGGAGCTGCCCTCCTGGCCTCCCGACCCTGGGCGGTTACATGCAGCTTCCTACCGGGCCTACGCCACCGCGCACCGCCTGGAGAGCTGCCGGAGGCCAGAGGAGGAGTTGGTTCAGTTCCTTAGGGAAGACACTGGGTGTATCACCAAGTTCCAGAAAAGACAAAAGGGACTCTTCACCCCTTAATTTCTCCACCCTTAGGTGATGAGTGGTCGACCTTGCCTGGCTGCCCCCAGAGGGTTCCTCCATCCTTCTCACCAGTGTCTGAAATTGTGACAAGCTTTGCACAGCAGTTTCGAAAGGGACCTGAGGTCACATGGGGACACGGCCGTGCCACCCTTCTCACGTCCCAGGTGCATGGACACAGAACCCAGCTGTCAGCAGCTGTTAGGTGATCGCTGTTCAGGCTGCCTTTCTCCTCCAGGGGGGCAGGATCGAGGCACGGATGCAACCGTCCTGAAGACGCGGGTCTCAGCCGCACCCCTCCTCTTTGCAAACAAGGGTCCTAAAAATTTTCTTTCTAGCCGGGGCGCACAGCCCGGAAACAAACCCTCGTGAAGTGTTTAGGAAAAAGGGAAGCCCCCGAAATCTCGGCCCCGGTTCGGCCGGGGTCGGCGGGCTCCGCGTTAGTTCCAGGCAAACTCCGCCCAGACCTCTGCCCGGGCGCTTTTTCTGCAGGAGCCGCTCCCGGAGGTAAAGGTCAGTTCCTGCCGCGGAGGCTTCCTGCTTCCCCCGCGAAACGGAGCGTGACTTCGGAGCTAAGCTTTCGGCCAGTTTAAAACGTTTGGTGTCAGTGGGTCAAGTAGCCACGCGGCTGCGCTAGCGTTCCCCAAAGGGACATCGGCGGCGCCACAAACCTCGCGCTGGCGGCTCGTCCCCGCCTCCTTCCCTCCCGCGCGCACCCGGCCCCACTCGCACCCGGTCGGTGCCATCGCGTCCACTTCCCCGGCGCGCCGCGGCCGGTCCGGCCCGGCCGCCCGATTCCAGCCCCGGAGCTCGGCCGCAGAAACGCCCGCTCCGGAAGGCGGCCCTTGTCCCCGGACCCAGGACGCGCGCTGGTCCAGCCCCCCGGTTCCCCGAGACCCACGCGGCCGGGCACCCCGTCTGGGTCTCGCAGTCCCTCCCCGTGCCGGGTTCCTGGCCGGGCGCTCCGGGGCCGACGGGCTCACCTGCGTCGGGAGGCAGCGCGCGGCGGGCCGGGGCGGGGGTCTCGGCGTTGGGGTCTCCGCGCTCCTGAGCGGGTCCTGGGCCGGGCGCCGCCGAGGGGCTCCGAGTCAGGGAGAAGAGCGCGCGGGCGCTGCGGGGCCGCAACACCTGTCCCGCCGCGGCGCCTTTTAACCGTACCCCACACCCCGCCTCTTTCCCGGGAGCCTGGGGAAGTTACGGAGGGGGCGGCGCCGCGGGCGGGGCGCGCCCGGCCTCCGGGTCCCCAGAGCTTCCCGTGTCCACGAACCCACGACCGCACCCCGAGAGCCCCGAACCCCCCGAGTCCCCTTCGAGGCCCCGAGTCTCCGAGTTCCTTTGAGCCCCCATGAGTTCCACCAGAGCCCCCAGGGCCCCGAGTCTCCCCCGGTTACCCCGCGCGCCGCCTCCTCCAGCCCTTGGGTGGCCCGGGAGGAGCGGGGGCGGCCGAGCGTCGGGACCCCCAGGCAGCGGCGCCCCAGGCCCTGGCTCCGGCGCTTGCGGCGGGCGGGGTTCGGGGCTGGCTGCGGTCGTTCCTCTCTACTCCGCCTGGCGCGAGAGCACTGGGCGTTCAAAGCGCTTCTTTAATGTTTTATTGTTGGAGAAACAGGCGTTCGTCCAAGGACTGAAGACCTGTTCGGGTCGCGGAGGCTGCGCGCGAGGCTCTCGCGGGGGGTCTAGGCTGGGTCGCGGGGCGGTGCCCTCGGAATGGGGGTTAACGGTGACCGGGGAGGGGGCGCCGCCGGTGCTGGCGAAGTCCCCGCAAAACCTCACCAACCCGCACGAACGCCTTCTCCAATTTCCGATTTGATTCGATTACTTTCAACGATGTGTCAAGGACTAAGGTCGGGGGCGGTGGGGGCCACAAGCCTCGCCTTTGCCGTGGCCGGCAGGGGGGTCCCGCCGTCTGCGGAGGTCGCCCCCCGCGGCCCCGGCCCAGCCAGCTTCCTCCTCTTTTCACAGCTAGGGAACTGCAAGGGGGTGTCTCGGTTTGGGGTGAGGAGGCCCGGAGTTTTCAGACAGGAGAGAGGGCAGGTGGGATCTCCCAAGCCCCTTCCTGCTGGATGCGCGCAGCGCGAAAGGGGGGCGCGGACGGGATTCCGCGGGGGGCCGCGGGGCGGCTGGGTCTGCACCGCACACCCGCTGGGCGCTTTCTGGAGACCGCGAAGCTTTGTCTCGCGTTGGGAGGTCTCGGTGCTTGCATTTGGTTGGGGATTTTGATGTCTTGAGATACAAATGACCGAAGACAGATTTGCACAGCGCGAGCGGATGAGGAGCTAAGATGTGCAGAGCAGGCCGGGTGGGGACCCCCGGGGACGTCTCCCCCCACCCCCGCCCCACCTCGGGCACCCACTTCGCGAGTTTTGCAGAGGGGAGTCAGGTCAGAGGTGCAGCCGGGTCCCCTCGCGCTCACGTTTTTACCCGGGTCAATTCCAAGTTAAGTGGAAATGCTGATTAATCCTGACACGTCAGAGCTGGCCTCAGAGTGGATTTCCTGTGATTGCCACCATTATTAGCACTGACTTTTCCTTGAAAAACGGGCGCCCCGTGGCCATGGGCCGACCTGGGCAGTTTCTGCAGGGGTGAGCGTAGAGTTTTGGGTCGCGGGTTACCACCTACTTTCCGGCTCCAGGTCTTAGTCTAAGAGGGAGTGTCTGCTCATGAAGAGGCAAAGCGCCAAGAGCTGCCAAAAAGCCTTGCATGGGCCATCTGAGCGATGTGCTGAGTCGGCTTGTTAAAAAGGACAGGCAAAGCCTGCGGGGTGGAGCGGCTTTCTCGGCCTGAGCACGTCTTGGTTGAGCCAGAGGTGACTTGGGGTGGGGTGGTGTGGGGTGCCAGTTGGTGGGTTCTCCCTTTAATTTCTCAAGAGCTATGCTGTTTATGAGTCTGTTGGAGTCCTGGTTGGTTGGAATGAAGGAAGGTTCTAGAACTATTGTGGGAAGCTGGCTAGTAAAGATGGTTTGGAGATTGGAAGTTGACTGACTTTCCCCCATTGAAAAATGTCACCTGAGATTTTATTGTCTGTGTCACGATGACAGGCTCGACTTTCTTTTCCTTGTTTTCTTTAATTTAGTTCTCCTTATGTGCAAAATTACTGTGTGATGTTGGCTAGTCGTATTATCACAGCCACTCCGTGTTTTCAGGATTTGTAGCTAGAAGTCCTGCAGCACTTAAGTCTTCACTTACAGATCAGCGCTTGCTTTTATTCTGTTCTGTATGATTTCTGTTGTTTTCCTGTGAGCTGGTGTTCTCTTCCCAACTAGGCTGAGGACTCCTCTAGGGCAGGACATTATATGCATGTCCCAGTGTACGGGAGGAGAAAGAGGAGAGGTGAGGTGGGAAGAGGGTGAGGGAAGGCTTGGATATTTGAAGTCATTTACAAATGAGCTTAGACATAGATCCAGTTAACAGATCACACCACAAATTAATGATTAAACAAATCCTGAAATTATTTTGTAAATTACACACTTACATTGTTGCATTTTTTTTCTGTTGAAAGCATTACTTTTAACAGAAATGGAAACATTGGAAATAAACCATGATTTTCTCACCTTTTATGTCTTCATCTCTTAATGTACCAGTCCCTAGAGAACCTGAAGCCCAATCCTGTGTTCCTCCACCCCAGCCACCCAGCCCCGTGGTGAGAGCACAGGGAGCTTAGGACAGTCCTGCTGCCTGCAGCACACAACTTTGTCTCATTGACCCGCAGGGAGGGACCAGATGGAGAAGGTGTTTTTGATGGAAAACTCACTGTGGTGTCTGCCTGATTGATCTTGAATGATGGCAAGTGGGCACTTATCAGGTAACTATTGATGATTAACTGACAAGGATCTGTGAAGGCTACACTTTGTCACTTCAGAGTGCCAGAGATACCTATCAGTAATATTTTCACGTCTATGCTTAGTACCATGCAGGTAAATCCCAGGCGATTATCATCGAGCTGAACCTTTCATGCAGATGTTTAAAGTGATGCACTTGTAAGGTTATAAGGTGAAAATGCTAATGTTTAAAGCTATTTGGCATTTTGGCAGTTGTTTTATAAATGAACCAAAAAGAAATAAGTTGCTATTGTGCAATAAATCAGTGTGAGACAAATCATATTTCTTAATAATTCAAGTGACTGCTTGCCAACTGCCTGATGGAACAGCCCCGCAAATTCCTGCTGGGAAGGGTGCTCTAAATATACATTAAACATGTCTCGGTTGCATTTCCGACTCATGAATCACATGTAGGTGATGGCAGAAAATGATGCAAGATGCGAAGACTGTCCTACCACTTGGCAGTTTTAGGGCAAGTTGGATTCATTGACTGTCTTCAAGAGCCATTAGTTAATGGACCACATTCCCTTTTCTTGCCTTGCTGTTGAAATATTAATAATATTAATAATAACTGGCAAAAAGAGAAACTTTAGCTCTCCTCAAAATAGCAGTTGGAAACTGACAAGCCCCTGGCATCTCTGGTTAATTAATAACTTACACATGATATTGTAATTTTAATGCAGGAGTGGCTCCACTGTGATTCTTTGTGGATAATTATTACAGGGAACACGATTTCACTACAATTTCTCTCTGTGTAATTGAACCACACCCTGACTTATGTTTTCTGAAAATTGTTAAAGTCAGGTCTTTTAGGGAAAATCAGTTGTTCCATTCAAAGAGTTAAAAAAAAAAAAAAAAGAAAAAAAAAAAGAAAAAAAATTCCAGCCTTCAATAATTTAATTGTTCTTTGCTTCCAAATTGAAGACATCTCATAAAATTCTAATTGCCAAGTTGTGACTGAAATTATTATCGGCTTTTAAATTTTCCTCATTCTATTCTTATCTTCACACGTACAATCTTTTGGGGGAAATTCGAACTGCTGGATGTGTCTCTATTTCAAGGCAATGGTAGAGTTAGTTGATCTCCTTGGTTTTCCTGAATGGACACGTGCTCTTACTCACAAATATATCCATGCAGTTATTTTATGATTATCTAGGCAGACTGTGGAGAAATTACAAAGATATTTCCAACTGTATTTGTGTCAAAAAGCACATTTTGGTCAGAAATGAATCCAGAGCTGTAACTCCCTAAATAGGTAATTTTTTTTTAAATTTACTTCTATTGAATATAAAAAGTAAATTCTGTAAATTATGGTGGCTTGTCAACATGGAAATTCTGGATCTTTCACAAGGAAGCAAAAAAGAGCTCTACATTCTAGCTCTGGCTACAAAAATGTTGTGCTATCATCTTGAAGGGCTTCTGGAACAAGTTAGAATAGAGTCAACACTCATAGCTGCTGTAGCAAAAGATGTAGGATTGACAAGGGCAGTAGAGCGATGACTCCTGGCTGTGTTGTATTTGATGGACGACAGTAGCTTTTCACAAAATGCTCATTTGGATGTTTCAAATGAAAACGTTTCACTTTCTAGAACCAATTTCGTGGTCAGTGTAGCTCCTGAGGCCCCAGTCAGAGGGGTATTCTGTAGCTTGCAAAGCCTCTCTTTGGGGATCGGACATGGAGTCTGTGGTCTTAGAATTCAGAACTGGGATAATGTGTTAGCCACTCATCTAAGCCATTCCTTATACGCCTTCAGAGCCATCTCCACTGTGGGGAAAGAAGTGCTTTGTGTTCTCTCATTCAGTCTCGTTCTAAAAAAAAAAAAAAAAAAGGCTATTGCAGTACCCAGAGCGCACAGTAGATGGCACTGACACTTGTCGGAAAGCTGTGCGCACTCAGGAGGTGGGAGAAAAATCAGTAGGTAAACTTTTCTTCTAGTCTAGCGTTGCTGCGTCTGACCTTATTAATAGGCTGAGAAATAGATTTCTTTCCTATCTTTTTCTTTTTTAAATGAAATTAAATGAAGTATAAAAGAATATGAGAATGTGTTGCTATTAGCAAGGGTAAGTAATGCTTTAGGAAACGTTTGGTTCATGTGTGTGCTTTCAGACTGATGTGTGTCCTGGATCCAGTGTGAAATGTACTTTGGTCTGTAGGTCTCTGCCGCAGAAAAGTTGGAAAGCCCCTGTTGTATTCCATTTCCAGGGGAACAAAAGACACCACTGTCACCTCATGTGAAATGGGGTTGTTACTAAGAGGGGAGACAGCAGGGCTTCAAGGGCAGCCCCAGCTCTGCTGTGCTTTAAGTTCACAGTCCACTGATCCCAGAAACCCCAGGTTGGTGAGATTTATTTGTAGAGGGGCTGCTTAGGACCATCATTTCAGTTTGGAAAAAGACGTCCCCCGGGCTCCTCTTTGTGATCTGAGAAGCAATAGCAATATTTAGTTAGGTCTTTTACTAACTTAATATAATTATTTGTCTAAAAAAGGATAGGAGTAAAACTTTGATATGTAGTACGCTCAGAAATCGTCGATCAGTCATTTAAATGGGTTCCATATTTAAAGAACCAGATAGAGACTTTTCATGTCAAACGTATGCATTGAACAATTATGCTTTGGAAAAGAGGAGGCAATCAACATAAGGGTTTATATCGTCTCTTTATTGGCTTTGAAGTGAATCAGTGATGGTGGGGAGTTTAGCTTACTAGGCTATTGCTATTAGTGCTATGGGGCTCTAGTACACATAGCTTTCATGGGTGAAGATGGCATTGGCCATCTCAGTCACCATCTGATGGGAAACGTTCACTTACTCTTATAGGCTGCGTGATATTCCATGTAGGTAATTAGGTGGCTGGGCTTTAGAAAGACACAGCCTCTGCTACAATTTACGGTAGTTCCCCATTCCAAGGCCCCCAGTGGATGCCTGAAACCTCAGATGGTACTGAACCCTCTATATACTCTGTTTTTTCCTATACATACAAACCTACCATAAAGCTTAATAGTAAGATATTAACAATAAAAAATAATAAAACGGAACACCTATAACAATGTATTGTATAACAATATATTGTAATACGATTTTTGTGGATTGTAGTCTCTCTCTCAAAATGCTATCATATTTTCCAACTGTGATTGACTACAGGTAACTGGAACCACAAAAACTGAAACAGTGGATAAGAGAGACACTCCTGTACCAAAGAAAAAAAAGAGTGTTGGAGCTGGGATTGCTTTACTGCACAAAATATACTTCAAAACAAGGAAACTACCAGAGTTAAAAATAGAGTGTTCAATAACACAGTTGAATGACTGAGTTAGACTGCATAACTGACACACAAAACAACGTAAATATAAATGAAGAAATCTCTGGGTATAATCTGGTGCAAAGGTGACTGTGTTAATCACTAATCCACAAATTGCTATCCTGAAGTGTGCCAAATGCTTTATGTTTATTTTGTTACATAGCTCTATAAAGAAAGGATTTTTAATCCCATTCTACAGAAGTGGAAAGTGAGTCTTAAGACTCAAAAAACTTTAAAAACTATAAGGAAGTAACAACTTTTACTAATTCCTTTTGTGTTTTTCCAGAATCTCTCTCTCTATAGGAATGTGATATGAATCTATATGTGAATTGATTCTACATGAATATTGATGACTTTTATTCCCCCTTTTGCACATAAGATAGAATATTTTACATACTATTCTACACTTTGCTTTTCTTAACGTATCATGGGATCTTTTTATATAAGTGAACAAAGAGTTTCTTCATTCTGTCACACAGTTTCATAGTATTCCTTTATATGATTATGTAATCATTTAATTAAAAACTCTTTTTTGATGGGTGTTTGGATTATCTCTAATATTTTGCTGTTACAAACAACAATATGACTTCTGCTTCCAATTAAAATATAGAATGCAAAATACCATTATTCATATGATAACAATAACAAAAAACCCTGAAAAAATAAAAATCATACTTATTTGTGGCAATTACCAAAGAACAGTGGAGAGGGTAAGCTTTGATGAGCTGAATTACTGGGCATGACGGTGAGCAGAGAGCCCACAGCTTCTTTCACACTTGAGGGAAAGTACCTGATTTCTATGTGGGAAGGTGGAGAAGCAGGGCTCTATCAGTGAAGAGACTTTGTACCTTTAAGAAAAATCTGCCAAAAGATTTGGAGCTGGATTGGAATTTAGAAGTCCACCAAATGCAAAAATAGTTTGGCTCAACGTCACCCCCATCCGTGATTTCACTGCAAAAGTGGCTGTGGAGGCAAGACTGGAAAACAGTTAAACAATTTCATAGTGCTTGAATTGTGGAGCCATGTTAGATGCAAGGGAAGCCAAAATGATATGAAATCTACGTCTCAACCTGCTTCCAGCTCACACACTAGGAAAACCAAAGAAACCAGCCATTATACAGTGGTGGCATAGGAAATTCAGGTTAGGCTGAGGAGCAAAGTAAAATGTCCTTGTTTCCATTAGATATCAGTGGTGCACTCAATTTAGTGAACACTACCGCTCAGTCTCAGCTCAACCTGACTCTTGATGAAATCTGATCAGATTCTCATTCCAGCCAACTGGCAGAGAGCAAGGGACTTGCACTCACTAGAAAAAACAAAAACAAAACACTCCTGGATAGTCTTTTATATGCAATGTCTAACATTCAGTAAAAAAATTACAAGACGTGAGGAAATAGGAAAATGAGATGCATATCAGGAGGAAAAAAAACAGTCAATAGAAGCAGATTCACTACATATTGAAAATAAAAGCACGGGAAAATGTACATATACAATGCAAACTTAAATTATAGGGAAGCTGGGGTGGCTTTACTGCACAGAATATACTTCAAAGCAAGGAAACTACCAGAGTTAAAAAGACATTTCAAATGGTGAAAGGGTCTTTTCATCAAGAAGACATCAATCTTGGCCAGGCGTGGTGGCTCACACCGGTAATCCCAGCACTTTGGGAGACCAAGGTGGGCAGATCGCCTGAGGTCAGGAGTTCAAGACCACCCATGGCCAACATGGCAAAACCCCGTCTCTACTAAAAATACAAAAAATTAGCTGGGCGTGGTGGTGGGCACCAGTAATCCCAGCTACTTGGGAGGCTGAGGCAGGCAGAATCATTTGAACCTGGGAGACAGAGGTTGCAGTGAGCTGAGATCATGCCATGCACTCCAGCCTAGGGGACAGGATAAGATTCCTTCTCAAAAAAAAAAAAGAAGACATCACTCTTAAATGTGTATTCCCTAAGTAACAGAGATCCAAATTACATGAAGCAAAATTAAGAACACTAAAGGGAAAAATGACAAATCCATATTCATAGTTATAATAACTGAGTAATTGACAGAACATGTATATAATAAAAGTCAGTAAGGATCTAGAAGATCTAAGGAATACTATCAGCTAATTTGATCTCACATTTACAGAACACCAAGTTTAGCAACTGCATGATACACACTGTTTTCAGGTGGAATAAGGCTGATTGATTAAAAATCAACTCTTGGTTGGGCGTGGTGGCTCACGCTTTTAATCCCAGCAGTTTGGGAGGCCAAGGCAGGTGGATCATCAGAGGTCAGGAGTTCGAGACCAGCCTGGCCAAGATGGTGAAACCCTGTCTCTACTAAAAATATAAAAAGTTAGCCGGGTGCGGTGTTGGGCGCCTGTAATCCCAGCTACTCCGGGGGCTGAGGCAGGAAAATCGCTCGAACCCAGGAGGCAGAAGTTGTGGTGAGCCAAGGTTGTGCCATTGCACTCCAGTCTGTGGAACAAGAGTGAAACTCTGTCTCAAAATTAAAAAAAATAAAAATAAAAATAAAAAAATAAATAAAATAAATAAAAATAAAAAAAAATCAACTCCTAAGTTTGTTAAAAATACAGATTTCTGGGTTGTGCGGCCAGAGGTTCTGATCCAGTAGATTTGGAAAGCCATGGGCTATAGTCTGTAATTACTTGGTTCTTAAGATCTTATAACTGGACTTAGCACTTCTTATGGATTGCATGTTTGTATCCCCCCTGAAATTCCTGTGTTGAAATCCTAGGAGGTGGGGTCTTGCGGAGGTGATTAAGGGGAATAGAATTAGTGCCCTTATGAAAGATCCCAGAGAGCTCCCTTGCCCCTTCAGGCATAGGAGGGCACGGTGAGAAGGCGGTGTCTGTGAACTAGGAGGCAGCCCTCACCAGACACCAAATCTGGTGATGTCTGATTTTGGACTCTCAGCCTCCAGAACGGTGAAAACTACATTTCTGTGCTTTATAAGCCCCCCAGTCTATGGTATTCTCTTATAGCGGCCTGAACTGATTAGGACAGCACTATTTTGACGAATGTACTTCTGGGGAAACTTAGGATCTTGATCCCATTAACATGAGCTCTGACTGAAGGTGTCTGTCTTCAGCACATAGAAATGTGGTGTATGGGGAGGAAACATGAAGTGTTCAATTTTAAATCCCACATGTCTGTTAAGGAGGTTAGAGCCTGTGGCACACTTTCAGCCAGGAGCCTCTCTCTGATATTAATTCTGGACCTAAATAGTTTTTGACAAGTGCCAGGCAGACCCCTTCATGAGCAGAGTCTAGAAGACTCACAGGTCTCTCTTAGGGCTGAAGTTCAGCCAGAAACAGCCAATTCCCCTCTGGATTTATGCCTTCTCTTTAGTGAACATTGAAGAGTTGAATAGATACTGGCTACCAGTCAGAAGAGACTGTTTCATGTTGTATTAATATATTTCAAATAGAAAACTAATGTCTAAGTTAATAAGAGATGAATACAAAGTAAATGGTATACAAAGAAATAATTATTTACAGCTCACTGCTAACCACAATTTAAAATGCTACAATAATCCTGAATCTATAAACTTAAAAGTTAGGTTAGGAAAAAGTTAGAAATCAATCATACCTAGAAATAATTTAGATTGACAAGCACCTGCACATTTCTGAGGCTGATTAATGATAGAGTGTCTGCTGTCTGCAGTATGATCTTTAAAGACACTCTTGGCTGTAGTTTCACAGTTAATTTAATTCCTCATCTTGGTGAGATTTTCCCACTGCACTCTGCCATCTGAATGGTTTCAAGGTCTTCTGTTACTTCACCAACTTTTTCCCTATTAAAATGGCCTGAAAAGGCCTTGGCCAGCCTGCTGTGTTCTTCCATCAGCATTCACCTAAGTACTCCTCATGGGTGGGAGAAACCATGGCAACAGCAGTTCTGGCGCATAGGGAGGTTATTCACAGGCCTTCAGAAAGCTACCAGCAGGTCCCTCATAGTAAGGAAGCCAATGAGCCTTCTTCCCTTCCCAGCAGCCATGCCACAAAGTCAGGAGAAAAAGGATTGGTATTTCAGATGCCGATTAGTTCAACATCCACTTATTGGGGCTCAGTATGTGAAGGATCGCGTTGAGGCAGGAGCATAGGGAATGAGATCAGCTCTTCTCTGTCCAGGAGCCCCTGCCTGAGTGGAGAAGCAGAGAGAAGTTAGCAAAGCAGAAACACCCTCAGAGCACCCTGGGGAGGAGGGTCAGGAGGGATGATGCTGCCTGGGGGGAGGCAGGAGAATCCTCAAGAAGGAGACTTTGAGCTGGTCTAGAAGGACAGGGTGGAGGAGGGGACAGGCAGGCAGGCCATTCCAGGTAGAAGAGAGCTTGTGCAATGCCCAGAGGGAGGATAAGAGAATGAACAGCAAGTGCCCTTAGGAAGGTTGAAAATGGGGAGCATGGAGACTCCCCATCACTCTCAGACTGAGAAATTAACTGGGAAACTAAGGCTGGGGATGTGGTTGGAAGGGCTGGGAACCAGTGACCCAAAACACAGGTGAATGTCAACAAAAACTAAACAAACTCAAAGACAAGCCAGCAAAAGCCTTCTGTCTCCAGTCATAGGGTCAGTAAAGGGGAAGCCTAGAAAGACATGAAAATTTTAGGCCGGGCGCGCTGGCTCACGCCTGTAATCCCAGCACTTTGGGAGGCCGAGGCGGGTGAATCATGAGGTCAGGAGATCGAGACCATCCTGGCCAACATGGTGAAACCCTGTCTCCACTAAAATACAAAAAATTAGCTGGGCATGGTGGTGTGCGCCTGCAGTCCCAGCTTCTCAGGAGGCTGAGGCAGGAGAATCGCTTGAATCTGGGAGGCAGAGGTTGCAGTAAGCCGAGATCGTGCCATTGCACTCCAGCCTGGCGACAAAGCAAGACTCCATCTAAAAAAAAAAAAATTTATTTTAGACAATAACCAATCTACTTCAGCCAAATATCCCAGAAAAAACTGTGTCCCTCCTACCACTCACCCATGCCAGCAAAGGCCAAACAGGTTGCCCAGGCTTCTGCCCTAGCAAGGCTGTAACAGGGTGCCTCAGCATCCCCACTGGGACAGTGTCAGAGAAAGCAAAGTAGGGAGCTTGGACTTTTGTCCCAGCAGGTAACAAGACCCTCCTGCCACATGATGTTAGTGGTGGCCATGTTGGGAGTCTGGACCCCATCCCACCTAGTGGTAATGAGGTACCACCACCCCTCCTCCAGCTGGTGTCAAAGAAGGTCTAGTGGAGAGTCAGGACTTTCATCACTGCCTACCAGAAACGAGGCCACCCCACCATGGTGCTGGAGGAGATTACACTGAGAGCTGGAACTGTCAACCCTCCCCTACAAGAAGCCTCTGCTCACCTTGGGTGTCAATGGAGGCCAAATGGAAAACCTGGACTTCTACTTCCCCCTGACAGCATGAGGCGGCACCCATTCCCTTCTGGAGGGGTGATAGAGAAAGCCAGTTAAAACAGAGACTTTAAAGGAGACCCAGAGTCTTTTGACAAAACACCCAGAGTGTCCAGGTTTTTGTTGTTGTTGTTTTTGAGGCAGAATTTCACTGTTGTTGCCCAGGCTGGAGTGCAGTGGCATGATCTCGACTCACTGCAACCTCCGCCTCCTGGGTTCAAGCAATTCTCCTGCCTCAGCCTATGGAGTCACTACCCCCTGCTGATTTTTGTATTTTTTTAAGTAAAGATGGGGTTTCACCATGTTGGCCAGGCTGGTCTCAAACTCCTGACTTCAGGCAATCCACCTGCCTCAGCTGGGATTCTGGGATTACAGACGTGAGCCATCACACCCGGTCAGAGTGTCCAGGTTTCAACTGAAAATCCCTTGTCAT